AAATTCTTTTTAAACGTATGAACATGCCAGTACAGCCACTCCGCCATTTTATAATACCCTCCCAACCCTAAAATAGTATCTTTGCAGCTTGAGGACAAGCTTGCTCAATGTCCTGTCACAGTTCACCACTTCCTTACCCTCGCAGTGCACCCTCCAGTCCTCCAGCCCAACTCCGCATATTCTAACTTCTATTTAAGCCGGGTGTATGCCAAGATGAATGATAGCTGCCAATAAGTGTGCGCTACGCATATGTGTGCCAATTGCCTATACACTTATCGCCACGCCCATTTGAAGGCAGCCGCATGAAGTGTGTTTTAAAGATGGCTCAATGGAATGACTGATCTGCAGTTTCTCTTGGCCATCAGTGTCGAAAGCTGTCTTATGAGGTTTTCACTTATTCCGAGTATTTCATCTGTTTCGTGCAAACAAGTCAAATAACAGTGTTATCTGCTGTACTTTCCTTCACTTTTTCCATCGTTTCTAAAAGAGATGGGGAAGGTCTTAAAAATTTTTGGATCATAATATTCGAGTTTTGTTGATATTCATCATGTTGTTTTATCAAATAATGTAATTCATTTCTAAATATGCAATTTCGAAGCACAGCTTTCTACATGGTCTAAGTAAGCCTTTCCGATAGTTCATTTCTATCGAAATGCTATCAATGTTCTAAGATTTATGTGGAGATTAATTTGGAGATTGCTAGATTCAACTATCGTCTGTAGTTTATGGTCAAATTGAGCAATTTTAATCGGAAAAGGACATATCATAAATTAGTTACTTAAGACATCCTTGAATTGTCATGACCCAATCTATGACGCCACAAGCGTTTAGGACAACCCAGCAAACATCCTTATACGATGGAGTCAACCAAATGTTAGTTTATATGAGACAACTTGGCTTTACCTTGTATGAAACCGAAAAATAGAAGATACGATAGGTGCATGAATGAGCTGACAACTTTTCTTAGTAAATTGATCAGCACGGGAGATGCTTGAGTACAGCGATCACAGCTATTTTTTATCCTAGAAATTTGCCAATATATTTGCATTTTCATGCTAAAGTTCTGCGAAAAACTTAAAGATACGGAAACTAGTACCTAGACAAGATATTGTGAAAACGGCAGGTCTTCAGATTGAATCTTCATTTTTCTCGATAAATACGCGTAACTTTGCTGAAAAAAATTGAGCGAAACAGTCTTGTTTGTCAACTGCCCTCAATTTCATATAGACCTCGGCAAATCCAAAATTTGAAAGAAGTAGTTAAAAAACAAATCGACAAAGTCGATCATGCCGTGCTCTATCGAAGGAGCGCAACGCATTGTCTTTACGTAGCATGCGCTTTCACTACGGGTCGGGGCAACTTGTGCAGCGCCTACGGTTGGCAGCTCGCGGTTGGCGCAAGCTATCGTTCATCTTGACTGTCACCCATTTGAGCCATTCACATATACAACGTACACCAGTCCTTAGACCATTCCATTACTTCTTTCATGTTTACGCTCGAGAACGAGCTTTTCGAAGGAAGGAAGGTGTCGGGATGCAGCGATGGCCACTTGGCATTAACTGCTGGCCAGAGGGCCCAAAACTCAGGAAAACCCCCTCGCTGGTGCCACCTGGCTTGTTCAGGTTATCACCTCGAACCTACCGTATCCCTCACCCCCGTGGTAAAGTGGGGCGGCGGTTCCTCATTCGAATAAAGCGTTGCTTCGTGAGTTGTGTTTACCAATGAACAACTATCACTAATTGGCATATTTTGGTGCATCGGCCAAACAAAGAGCTGACAAAGTGCTCTGCGACAGCAGCAGCACAGAAGGTTGACAAAGAAGACTTTGGGCTCCAAATTGCTCTTAACCCCAGAAGGATTGGAATGTCGCTGATCTTTAATAAGAAAGCGATGGGGTTTAGCGCAAAAATTCTCCAAACCCTACTAGAAAAATTCTCAACATACAAAGAGAAACTCGAGTTGACTGGTTCCGAGGATGAGAACTATGAGGACTGCCTTAGTGCGGTCAGTCTCATGGCGGTAGCATACAAACTATCCAACAAAGCAGAGACTCCCTATAAATGTTAGTAAGTAAACTTCAGAGGGAATATGAAGCAGCCAGAGCAAATCTAACAAAAAAGAAGTTGAAAAAGAGTTAGAAGAGATAGAAAATTAAACTAACTTTACTGAATGCGTAACGAAAGCTAATGAAATGATCTTCATGCTAGGTGTAAGACTTACTGAAGCCAAAAGTCAAATGGAAAAACCTGCTCGAAAATTGGGACACAAAATTCCTACGACAGTGGAAAATCGATCCCTCACCCCTAGTAAAGTGAAGCGGGTACAGGTCGGTGGGCCGTAATGTGGGTTCCACATTCGAATAAAGTGTTGCTTCGTGAGCTGTGTCCACCAAAACAACAACTGCCACCAATTGGCATGTGGCCGCCTCTTCTTCTTCTCTCCCCCCCTCCCCCCCTTTCTCTACGTATCTATTGCCCTAAAAAATATAACCCAAACCATTACATCCATTCCTTTCCCATAAATGCTGACTTTGGACTTCAGACAGTAGCGTATCATCCTTTCTCGCCTCACACCTACATTTACCCTCTATGACCTTTGCAATTTCACGCCTCTAACGGAGCTATATCCTTCAAATGGCGACTGTAAGCGGTGGGAGTTAGCGTTATTAGCTTTACAGAGTTGAACAAGTTCAGTTACCGGATTCCTTTCCTTTTCATTTCACCGCATCCCCGATACTGAGGCCATTGATAATACGCGATGTTGACAAGTTAACAAGTTCTATTTTAAACGTGTAAATATTAGGAATTGTTTTGTGCATTGATTACTATTGTAAACAATAAAAGAAAATTCTCCATGCTAATCTACGATAAGTTCGGATGCAGATGTTCGTGATAACTGCCAACAACGAATTACCGCGCAAGCGGGCCACAACGGTATCACTGCGCTATTGCTGAGCAGTGCTCTTCCTGCGCGAGGGACGTCAATGAGCGGACGGCAATCAGCATGCTGCATGGCGGCGTAGCAGAAGGCCCCAAGGACATGCCGTTTATCCGCGGAGGTAGCTAAAGGCGCGAGCCATCCCGGATGGATCTGGCAACTTTTCAAGAGCTGGTTGCGGCTACGCCGTCAGTAGGAGTATATCAATCTAAACTGTGCGTGCACGATTGAAAGCCTTTTACAAAACGGAGAAATAAACCGTAAGTTGATAAGAAACAGGAATGGGAAAAGAAACGTGGCAGAAATCTTATGCACTATTTTGTTAAATAAAAGATATTTTGGTGAGTTCAATCAATTCAAATAGCTATAAAGCTTTCTCCAATTCAATTTGAAATTTTACTACTATGAAGCTCATTTACGTGCAGTATGTTTTCATGGTCGCGTATTCTGATATCATTTAGTTTGTTGGATAGTTTCGTATTTTATTTCTCTTATTTTCAAACTTGAAAAATTCTAAGAAAACGAAAATTTTGGCAACACATTGTTTATTAAACATCCTTTTAGAAGATGGTATTAGGAGAAACTTGGGAAAAATATTGCGTGCATTACATGGCAATACCATGATAAATATTTAACATGACGAGACGCGATATATATA